TGGGGCTGAAACATGGACACTTAGGGCAGTAGATCAGAAACATCTGGAAAGCTTCGAAATGTGGTGTTGGAGAAGAATGGAGAAGATCAGTTGGACCGATTATGTGAGAAATGAACAAGTGTTAATTAGAGTCCGTGAGCAGAGGAATATCCTACACGAAATAAGAAAACGGAAGGCTAATTGGATTGGTCATGTTTTACGCAGAAACTGCCTTCTAAAGAAGTTATCGAAGGAGAGATAGAGGGGCAGATAGAAGTGACCAGAAGACGAGGAAGAAGACATAAGAAGATGCTGGATGACCTTGGGGACAGAAGAGAATACTGTCATTTGAAGGAGAATGCTCTAGATCGCATTAAGTGGAGGAATTGTTTTGGAAGAGACTGTGTACCTGTCGTCTGACAGATTACTGATGATGATGATGACACGGACTTATATCCCAGAAGTCAATTTTGGATTAATCTCGCCTTCAAGTCACCAGACGCCGTAACACACCGCAACTGTCTGTGTGCGCGCATGGGTATATTTTGTCTTACAATTTCTTTCCAGTATGTCGAATGGTACAAAGAACAGTGAATGATGAACCTGGAGTAAATTATGCGAAGGCCTAAGGAAATTTGTCAAGTTAATCGGTGTCCTAGCTTTTATTCAAGCTGATCACCTCCACATCACAAATATAGAGTCTTGTGCTACATCAGCCCGGTCGGTATTGCAGTTCCGATTTTACGTTAATTTAACGAAAAAATGAGTTGCTGTGGTTCAGTCATCTGTGACAATTACAAGGTCGTGCAAATAAGTTTCGATACTTTGCGCCGGGCGATCTGGCAACGCTGTTACTTGGAATGTTGGGTGACGCAACTAGACAGAGCTCACGTGGAAAGTCTGGTTAAGGTGCGTCAATATTCGTTGAACAGCAGCTTGTTAGATCACTGTTTCGTCGGCTTTGCTCAGATATGAAATTGGAGCGTACGATGGAATGGAAAGTTGTATTTATTTATTTATTTATTTAATTAATTGCATATTTACAATCTACTCTCGATGTTGACAATCTGTGTATTTCTTCTATGACAAATAGGATTTGCATATCAGTGTGGATAGTAAAGTTGGAGGCATACCGATGTGCTTTAGTTACTGAGCGCAAGAATTTGGATTGAAGTCTTTGAAATATTTTTGTGTTTGATGGTTTTGTACAGCCCCATAGCTGTATAGTACCATATGTCCATATGGGTTTCATTGTACACTTGTATAGTAGAAGTTTGTTTCCTATGTATAGCTTGGAGAGAGCCGTGAGAGAGCCAAGAGCCATGGCATTTCTCGTAGTTTTAAATTTATGTTCCGACATTTTGTTTCGACGTGTTTCTGCCGTGTCAGATTTTGGTCGAGGTGTGGTCCCAAGTGTTTTACTTCGGTTTCGTCCGGTATTTGCATATCATTGTGGACGGAAAGTGAACGTGAAATTCTGTGTTAAACCGCAGAAATCTCCAGCTGTCCAAACGCCAGTCCAAGGAGTGGAGATCGAAGAACAATGTTGACCTGCTTTTTGGACATCCACTTCGAATCTGTGCCCGAAAGGACCACTGTTAATCAGACAATCTACGTGGAGGTGTAGTGTTGATGCCGTGAGGCGCAAGCGAGGAGAGTTGTGGTGAGATGACTCGACTCTTCACCACGACAGCGCGCCGGCGCTCTTCACTTCGGGTGTCGTAGTTTTTCAGCAGGAAAATGCATCTCTGCCATGGACCATCCGCCATCTCTCCTGACTTGGCTCCAGCTAACTTCTGGCTGTTTCCGGAACTCAAAGCGTGTGCTGAAAGCAAAGCGTTTCTCGGACGTTGAGGATATTAAATCATCTGTGTACAAACTTTTGACAGGCATTCCCGTTCAGGATTTTAAAAACTGTTCTGAATAATGACCGAAGAGCTGGGAACATTTTAAAAAGCTGGAGGGAGGTTATTTTGAAAAAAAAAAAATTTTTTCCTAATATCCACAGCTTCTAAAGTAAAATTTTAAAAAACTTAGTCTCGAAACTTATTTGTCACACCTTGTAATCTTTTGACCGTTTTATGGCCGTTATTGTAACGGAGCAAAGTTACATGTTTATACGCCTTCCCAGACTGAAGTCTAGGGCAAGTGCCGATTGTTTGCATTAGGGGCGGAGCTGCAGCAGGTAAGAGGACAGTCCTGTAATGAGGCGCAACTTTCGCGGGGAAGAAAGGTTCTTAAATTATTCTCATCTGTATGAGTGTCGCTACGAACATGAACCGGTAGGAAGTTTGGTATTTGGATTCAGCACATGTAATTCGTCATATGATTTGTAGTACACGTATTTCTTGGTTCGACGAACTTGAAGTAAGACGATGCATGTCCTTAAATTTTCCGCAGGAGCCAAATTGACTAATTTCGCCTCGTTTCGATGTAGGATCCAGTGTTGAGGCCTAGGAAAAGTTTTGTGTAACGTGTAGGAGAGCACACATATTCTCTACGACATTTTATTTTCAGATATCTGGGAATGGCAGTAACCAATCAAATACTTGATTCAGGAGAAAATTAAGAGGAGATTGAACTCGGGTAATGCTTGCTACCATTCGTCCAGAACCTTTTGTGTTCTCTTCTGCTGTCCAAGAACATAAAAATTAGAATATACAAAACTATATTTTTGCCTGTGGTTCTGCATGGGTGTGAATTTTGGTCTCTGATATTAAGGGAAGAACATAGACTGAGGGTGTTTGAGAACAGGGTGTTGAGGAGAATATTTGGACCGAAGAGAGATGAAGTGACAGGAGGTTGGAGAAAACTGCATAATGAGGAGCTTCATAACTTGTACTCTTCTCCAAGTATAATTAGAATGATCGAGTCAAGGAGGACGAGATGGGCGGGGCATGTAGCACGAATGGGAGAAGATGAATGCATATAGGATAATGGTGGGAAAGCCAGAAGGAAAAAGACCACTGGGAAGACCAAGACGTAGGTGGGTGAACAATATTAAAATGGATCTTAGAGAAATAGGGTGGGATGGTATGGACTGGATCGATCTGGCTCAGGATAGGGACCAGTGGAGGGCTCTTGTGAACACGGTAATGAACCTTAAGGTTTCATAAAATGCTGGGTATTTCTTAAGTAGCTGCACAACTGGCGGCTTCTCAAGAAGGGTTCAGCTCCACGAAGTTGGTTAGTTAGATACTTTCAGTGTTAGCCGACGTGTTACTTGATTGTTCAGTTAAACTTGTACAGTTGTGTAACATTGTACACCGTTTGAACACTTGGGACAAATTCAGTTACACTTATCACGATTCTGAACAAACTACATATAGCTCAGTCCTTCTTGGGACGATGACAGTCGCTTAGGTCGTTAATAATTCCCCTCATTCGACGCTGTACTGTCTAGTTACTAGGAGGGTCCTAAAGTAACCCACAGAGCAGTTGACATTTCTACTGTTCGTTTAGAGACACTTCCGGCGTCGTCGTACCTACGGCAACGGTAAGCGATGCCCAGAAATTACGCCGAAGTTTTTCGCCTGCACAATAAAACCTATATGAGTTACGTCTTTTCTAATTGCCTCGCCCCTCTCCTTTGCAGTGTAGTGCTATTGAGGTCTCGTATTTGTTTTTTTTGTGTGTGTGTGTGTGTGTGTGTGTTAGCGTTTAAACCTTATTGTGAAGCATTTAAACTGTGATGAAGCTATAAACACTAAGAAAACAGTTGAGATGAAAAATAATGAAGCTTTCCGTTGGATTTTCAACGGGAATTACGCTGCTTTATAAACAACTAGAGACTTGAATACAAGGTTGAAAATGTCCATATGGAGCATGACGTTAGGGTTTCTGAGACTCACCGCTAGATTGCTGTAGCTGTGCGAAATATTGGAAGGGTAGGAAATTATGAAGAACAGAATGAAGAAAAGAAGGGCGAAGAGACGATTCCGAGCTGCGTGCGTTGAGGCCCAGTGAGATGGCTTCAAATTACGTCGACTGTTGTATTGTTACCTTGTCACCGCCTTCCACAGTTGAACTTGTTGTGTTGGAAAGTGAACTGTGTCACGTGTGCAGCATAATTTCATACATTTAGAAGCAGGATAGACCATCGTTTGTTCGAAGTCTGGACTTCAATTAAGTCAAAAATTTCTCAAGCACAGCTGCCATTTCATGTCGTCTATGATCCCAAAAAATTATGTACTTACAAACATTCGAATAATATTGCATTTTGAAGAAGGTCNATTATTACATTTTGTTTGTGGTTTATTTTATGACGTCAATATGTCGTGGAATGGCAAGATGATTGAGGAGTGCCGATTTGAAGATGTGGATGGATGTGGCCGTGACCTGTCCCAGGTAGTCTCAGCATTTAGCTGGAGGGGCTGGGGAGAATCACCAAAATTCTCTCAGTCAGGATACCCGGTCTCCCAACCGGGATTCGAAACGGACATCTCCCGAATACAAGTCTACAGCGTTACCGCTACTCTAACCAGCTTGGTACAACTTTTATAGGGTCACATTAGTGCACAAACGACATGACAGCCACTTGAAATACACGTACTTATTTTGTTTTGCGTTTGTTGCCCATAATTAAGGGCTCACTGAAATATGGTACTAAACGTGACTGGATATCTGTAGGAAGCACTGCTTTCTTTTTGTTTTAGAATTACCAACACGGCAACAGTGCCAAACGTTGAGATTGTGTGTGACAGCTGTTACGCCCTGCGAATGTGCAATGCACACACATGGAACGCATATTTGTGTGATTATGAATAAGGCAAAAGAGGTAAAGTTATCCTTGTAACAGGCCGTGGAGGCCCATAGGGTTGTGAGACGTCGAGGCTCCCACATTTTCTAGACAATTGGCTGATGGCGGTGAGTTTGTTAGCCTTACGCCCCGGCCGCCCTTTACCCCCAGGAAGATTCCTGGTAATCATTTCTGTTAGAGGCTGAGTCGACACAAGGACCATACTGCGGCTGGCAGGACTAGATCAATTGAAACGGCCCGGGTTCGATTCCCGGCAGTGCAACAATTTTTTTTCTCCACAGCGTTCAGACCGGTCCTAGGGCTCACCCAGCCTCCTATCCAATGGCTACCTGGGACTCTTTCTCCGAGGATAAAGCGACCGGGGTATGAAGCTGACTATTGAAATCCCGTGGAGCTATACCTCCACTTACCCATACGTTTTAATGCCTTTGTGCTTAATTAATTAAGCAGAGGGTCAACTTTACCCTTTATGGTGAATGTTTAACTAGATAAACTCTCAAATAATCCGTGGCTACACACTGGCGTCTCCGACGTTCCGAAAATTCGGGTTAATCCGTTTTCCTATATACACATACGTGTATATACAGGGTGTCCCAGGAGGAATGTGCCAAACTTCGGGAGTGTGTTCCTTATGTAAAGTATGCCGATATAACCCAAAACACCTATGTCCAAAGTTGAACGGTTACGGAGATAATGGCCCGAGAAAGTGTGGTCTTCTGGCGGGTCCACGCACTATACCTGTCAGCTGAGACGTCTTATCTATGTTTGTCCTTGAGTGTGGTGATTCACACTAGCCGTAAGCTCCCTTCAGTATACGTTGCGGCCGGGTCGTGAATGGGTGGTAGGTTAATTGTGCGGAGTTGCTGAAATGCCTTCTGTGTTTTCACACTTGGAATATTGTGATATGCATTTTGTGTATGGATTTTGCGGTGGCAATGCACGTGCTGCTGTTGAAGAGTACCAAAGGCGTTTTCCCGATCGAAGGATTCCATCTCGAAGTGTATTTACGCGAATTCACCAGACATTGCGTGATACTGGTTCTCTTCCGAGTGTTTCTGTGAACCCTGAAAGGGAGGATGAACGAATGATAAACACACGAGAGAACGTTCTTGAAATGGTTCAGAGAAGTCCGCGTCTGTCCACTCGTAGAATGGCCTGTCGCATCGGCGATCACGTATGCAGGTGTGGCGAACTTTACATGATGAAGAGTTGTATCCTTACCATGATCAAAGGGTACAACATCTGGAACCAGGCGACCATGCACAGCGTGTGGATATGTGCCACTGGATAAAAGCTCATCCCGAACTGTTAAGCGTCATTTTATTCAGTGATGAGGCGTCGTTTACCCGGGACGGTGTAAATAATTTACGAAATATTCATACGTGGTCCCATAATAATCCACATGAGATAATGGAAACGAAATTCCAAAAGAGATT